AAATGTTCCTAAGATTTTTAGGAGCCAAAATAGGTCAGCTTGATGAGACAGAAAACATACTTTGAAAGTGCTTCCTGCGTTCTTTCCCCTAGCCCTCCCCTTAAAACCCGAAACTCTTTCACGGAAACCCCTTTATTTTAGCGAGGAAAAGTGCGGAGGGTTTTTGGTCCAGGGATATGTGTGATTGCAGGATTTTTTTTTTTTAAAGTTCAGTACTAATTTAAGTAGCAGCAGTGGTCTGGTTAATTTCCCAGATGGTCGTCGTCTTCTTAGGATTTATATTTTGTTTTCAATGTTGTTTGTTCTACTGTAAAATTAGTTTTGATTATGCAATTACTTGGTTGTTTTGCTATGGTAGATAATGTTGGTTCTGTTATGATTTTTGGGGGGTTTAATTGTTTCTTAGAAGTCATCTAACCAACTCTCATTTTATAAACAAGGAAATTGAGGCATAGAGAAATCAGGTGACTTGTCCTAAGTTGAATTGAAAATATTACTAAAAGAATACTTTAGTGATAGCACTTGAAATTCCCTTTTAATGGTGAACCCCAAGACTTGGATGTTTTTTCATGTCTCCAGGTTACATTTGTCTCCTGACATGGAAAGATGGCAGGAAAGATTGTTGAGCTCTTTGAGACACGGGGCTTCCCCTCTTTTATTTTAAATATAAATACAAGGTTATATGCCCGCTCGCTGGCAGAAGCTTCAAATTCTTACCGTTTCTTTGTAGCCCTACACTTGCGCCAAATTAAAATAAATGGCTCAAAGGGCAGTCACACGCTTTTAACATTAAAGCAGTGATTTGGGTTCCCTGTGAGCTGCCGAAAGCCACTGAGAGCCCCCCTTCCCTCCGCAGGCGGGGGAGCCATGGACGCGGGTGACACGCTGGTCCTGGGCACCGTCCTCGCCAGCCTGGGCGCCTTCCAGCTCCTCTTCCACTTCGTCAGCTACTGGTTCTCCAGGAGGGTGTCTCCCGGCTTCAACAGCCTCAGCTCCGAGAAGAAGATCGAGTGGAACTCAAGGTAACGCTTACAAACCGTCATGGGCTTTTCCCCGAGAGCTAGTTTGTGAAATAAAATTATTTAAAATGTTTCTAAAAAGCCTTTCACTTAGCCCCGGCCTGTGTGGGTCTCAGTTGGTTGAGCATCGTCCGTGCACCCACCAGGTCGCCGGTTCAATTCCCAGTCGGGACAGGTTGCAGGTTTGATCCCTGGTTGGGGTGCGTGGGGGAGGCAGCCCACTGGCATTTCTCTCTCTCCCATCAATGTCTCTCTCTCTCCCTTTCCCTTCCTGTCCCTCTGAAAACCAATGAAACAATAGTCTTTCGTTTCGGATCTATGAAAATCTAAGCTCAAAATTGTGACTGTCGGACGAAGAGAGAAGACAAGTTGCTAGCTCTCATACAAGGAACATTGAACCATTTCTGACGCTGAAGGACGGTAGGAAAACGCGTCAGCTTCCCGGGTTCGTGCGGGGGAGCCGTGCCAGCTGGCGGTGAGAGGACGGTCTTGCATTCCTCTCTGAAACGTTTACGATAACCAGCCCAAGTCCTGGCAGCGAGACGGCAGCAGCAGCAAACACGAGCCACCGACAGAGCCTATATATAGTCCTGGCCGCGCCGCCCGCGGCAGCTGACCGCCGCCGGGAACAGGCCGTCTCCCTCCGTGAACTCTTCGCTGCGACCCAGAGCCCTCTAGCATCCTCCCTGTTGTTATATAATTCTAAAGGAAAAGCTGCTTTTAGGGGTTTTTTTTTAAACAAAAATAAGTGGAAAGTGAACAGACATGTAAGAAGGATATAGAAAGTTGTGTCGGTTTTATTAGCGCGAGGTTGTGTGTGTGTGACGGAACTTTCTGTTGTTGTTCAGTTGAAGTTAACGCTGACTGTCAAACAGCAGGTCTCTGAAGCGGCCGGAATCACCGGCCCAAACACACGGAGGTTGGTCCGGCTCACACGTCCTGCAGCTCTTCCCCCCGAGTGAAAACCCTTCCCCAGGGGCTTCTGGGAAAATGACTGTGACTTGCCTTAAGGACAGTGAGGATGTCGCTCTGCGGCGGGAACCAGGAGAGAGCAGCCGTTTCCAAACTCTACCGACAGGAAGATGAACGGGGAGAGCGCGGCTGTGTTTCTGTTTTCATTCCCTTTCTCCACGGTGAGAGGAGCCACAGGCCAGGAACCTTGGAGAGCTGCTAGCCCAGGAGCTGGGGGAGGGCCAGGCCAGGAGAGCAGACATGGATGAACATGTGATGCAACTGACAGCACTTCTCTAGTCGGCGTTACCCTGGCCCTTCTGGGCACCGCCCGCCCCTCGGTTTCTGCGGGAAAGAGGAGTCGGGATAATGGTGAGGCGCTCCCTTCTCCTGCTCTCGGCAGTCCCGTCCCCACCGGAGCTGGGTTCACACGGGCTTAACGCCGGGAGGCGGAGGGTGCAGAGGAGGAATAAAAATGGCTGTGTTTTGAGTAAAGTGCACACACATGCACGTCCTGACATCCAGCGTGCTGACTGGATGCAGACAGGTGACCACGCCCACCCCTCCCTGCCCGGTCGGGATGGTCTCCGAGGAACCGGGTCTGGGCCGTCCACCGAGGGGCAGGCGGGAAAACGCCAGGCCATTCTCGCGGAGAGAGCGCGTTTAGTTAGTGCGAGGGGCCTGGCTGTACTCAGTTGTGGTTTTTCTGAAAACATGCCGAGAGCTGCCATGTCTGTCCCCGTCCATCCACACGGCTCCTGTGGGAGACGGGCCTCTTGTGTCTGTGCTCCTGATGGTAAACCGGCTTCTGCAGGGCCGAGCCCTTTTGTCTGAGCCGCACGGTTTCTTCCAACACCCACAGGGCTCGTGGGTGATCCCGTCAGTAATTTGAGTTGCTGTTCTAACACGGTCACTATCTCCTTGAAAGTGGAGCGCCGTCTCCTCAACGCCACGCATTTTACTCTCTTCCGGAGAAAATGGAACTGTCATATCGGGTGGCATGTTGGTGTTTCTTTGTAGACACGGTGGAGTCTCTAAAGAGTTAACTGTGAAGTCTGAGCACACGGCCTGTGGATCCACACGCAGCGGCCCAGGCTGTCCGCGGCCCCGCCCTGCGCGGCGGGAGCGCCGGTCCCGGTGACGCTGAACTTTCTCGGGGCGCATCTGCCAGTCCCTCCCCCGCACAGGCTGTCAGCGGAGCCGGGCCCGCGGCCTGGCCTCGGGGACAGAGTGTTACACTTTGTCTGAAAGACACTTTCTTGATGTTCGTTTTTCCCTTTTCACAGAATTTTCACACGGCAACGGAAAGCCGGCCGCGCGATTGTTTTTTATTTTGGTTTTGGCTGCACGAGGCTTGTTTAGACGAGGGCTTCTCGGGCGTTAGCATCTTAACCCTTTCATCCTGCTGTGTCCACGTGGAATACAGGGCGCAGGGCGCGCCAGTCCCCAGACGGCTGGGCTGGTGGATCTCACTTCAGAATGCCCCTTTGGCATTTCTCACGCAGGCTTCCTGGTCGCTGTCTTCCGTGGGTGTGACTCTTGGAGCCTGGACGTGCGATTGGGTTCCCTGTGACGTATCTGTTCAGGACCACGCTCTCTGCTAGGTCTGGTTTCTCAGGTTACAGTGGTCTGTTCTAACATCGAGACGTGTGTTGGTTGGTCTGTCTCACTCACCTTTACAGATGTGGGGCCGGGTGGAGAGAAAGCCATTGCCCACCGTGACCCTCTAAAGAGAAGACCGTGTTGTTCCTTCCGTCCTTTAGTCTGACGGAGAATAAAACAATCGTTTTTCTTGTTCGCACGCCCTGGAGCGTGGCTGTGGGTTGAGTCGCTCCATTCTTAGCGAGACTCGCGCCTGGACACTGAGTTTTCCACCGAGACCTGACTCCTTCCATCGAAGGAGACCTGGAGCTGTGAGCTCTCACGTGGGCATTTGTTTCCTTCAAAATCAGGTTTTCTGTGGAAGTTCTCGGGGCCGGTTTTCTGTCCAGAAGCGCTTTCGTATCGGTGACAGGTTCCCACAGACACGGCCCAGGAACCTGATGTGCCCCTGGGGCCGTGCGAATTCTGATTCAGGATCCGCATTGTCGCCAGTGGACTTGGAGTCATTCCAGCTGTTGGAGCAGAAAGGAATCCGGAACCCGGACACGCAGGGCGGGCGGCCCCCTCGGCACTGGGGGCACCCGGCTCCGCTCCTGCGTCAGAGCCTCCCCAGCAGGTGACTCGCGAACGCCCAGGAAGAAACGGTGAATCAGGCCCAGCTGGTCCCAACGCCTCTTGGCCCGCGTCCACGTGCTGCCAGCCTCACGCCGATGCCGCCGTGGGACGGCTCCTCACGTGGTCCGTTCCTTTCGTTTCAGGGTGGTCTCCACCTGCCATTCCCTGGTGGTCGGGGCTCTGAGCCTGTCCGTGTCCTTGTTCGATGAGGTTGCCATCGCGGACCCGCTCTGGTAAGTCTCCTCCCGCCGCGGTGCCCTGGTTTGGGGTTGACGGTCAGTCGGTGTCGCTGACACTGGCACGGAAAGCGCCTCGGGGCTGGGCTCGGTCTGGCTTCAGCAAGAGGGGAGCTGGCCTGTGCGTCGCCGGGCTCTCCCCACGGAGGGCGGGTCTGAGGCAGGACAGTCCTCAGTTCCGTCTGACCCTCACCCGACACCACAGCTGCGCCAGGAGGACCAGCCGTCCCTGCGGGGAGGCGGTTCCACAGAGAGGCCGTGCCGCCCGATGCTCAAAGTCACTGATCATCAGAGAAATGCAAATTAAAACGGCAATGAGGGATCACCTCACACCCGTCAGAATGACTACCATCAACAAATCAACAAATGACAAGCCTTGGCGAGGATGTGGAGAAAAGGGAACCTTAGTGCACTGCTGGTAGGAATGCAGACTGCTGCAGCCATTATGGAAAACAGTATGGAGTTTCCTCAAAAAATTAAATATGGAACTGCCATTTGACCCAGTGCTCCCACTTCTAGGACTATATCCCAAGAAACCAGAAACACCAATCAGAAAGGATATAGGCACCCCTATGTTCATAGCAGCACAATTACAATAGCTAAGATTTGGAAACAGCCCGCCCATCAGCAGATGAGTGGCGGCTCCCCTGGGATGCACGTCCCTCCCGCGCTCCCTGGCGTCCGAGCAGGAGCTGAGGCCGCGCAGGGTGAGGGCGGAGGCGTGTTCTGAGCAGCACGGCCCGGGCTGCGGCAACCGGGGCAGCTCCTTCGACTTCTCTCTCGCTGGGTTTTTGTTTTTCATTTTTGTTAATCCTCACCCGAGAGTCTTTCCCCATTGATTTTGAGAGAGAGTGGAAGGAAGGGAGGAGGTGGGGAGAGAAACATCGATGTGAGAGAGACACCTGGATTGGTTGCCTCCTGCACCTGCCCTGACCAGGGCCCAGGACTGAACCTGCAACAGGTCCGTGCCCAGGACCCTGTGGTGTGTGGGTCACCCAGCACTCTAACCACTGAGCACACCAGCCAGGGCTCGGCTTTTAAAAAAATTCATCGATACGAAATGACGCCCATCAGAGTCACCCCACCACCCACACTTTCCGTGGGAAGGTGTTCTCGGAAGCAAGTCCGCTCAGTGAATCAGTTCCCTGACCAGGTTCCCGTGGAATCTGCCGCAACAACCTCCAGTGCTTTTTCTTTTCATAATTTTTATTTTATAAACACGCTCGCCCACAGCGAACCTCATAACAGAGAATCGATCCATGACCAGCTTTTGTCCTCATCAGGCTTCCGCCGTCATAATGGCTGGCGTGTCTGCGTTTCCTTTGCTGCCTCGCGCCGGCCCGGCTTCCCTGGGTCTGTGTGCGGCTGGACGCCGGCGCTGCCCAGTCTTTCCCACGCTGGCTTCCGGCTCCTCACTTCGTTGTGTGCATGTTGCCACTCACGTTACAAACCAGAGGGCGGAGGACTGGCCCCTGGCGCTTGCTGATGGCAGTGAGGAGCATTAATTGGCGCAGAGGGTCTCGCTAGGAGGAGGGCCCGCCCTGTTCCCACCGGGAGCTGCCGTCAGGGAGGGAGCTGACGGGCCGCCTCCAGGCGGCGGGCGAGACCATTTCCTGAGGTTGTCCGAGTCTCTGATTCACAGTAAGGACCCAAACATCATCACAATCAGCGTCCGAGTCCCATTCGAACCCTTTCTCAAACAACTCGCACGAGGACACACGTATGAAAAGCTGTCTTTTGGTAAAACTGTTTTCCTGAAACGGAGCTGATCGTAGGAGAAATCATGACTCCTCGTGCAGGCAGGGGTGTTATCACGCTAACGCGGCGCTTTGTGCAGAGGAGGTTACCGGTCGAGACTGTGGGGAGCACCTTGATCGCGTTTCTGTCCCAGTAGGAAGAAACCCTGTCGTCTGTAGCCCGTGTGCTAAAAAGGAACTTTCTTCCAAAACTGTCTTAGGGGCGACTCGCTGCTGGCGAAGGTGAACGTGGCTATTGCTTCCGGCTACCTCGTCTCTGGTATGTGCCGTGTTCCTCCGTTCTTGAGGAGGTCCCCGTGGGGCTGTGCCTGGCGTCCGTGGTCTGTGCTCCGGGTGATGGCTGATCTGAGAGGCAGCTTTAGGACCCACACGGCGGAGAGCGTTTCCTATCGGCCCCGGCCCCGAGGGGGAGCAGAGCTGCGGGAGGGCCCCCCCCCCCCGAGACCTGGGCGCGTCGGGTTAGTCAGGGTCCCTCTGTGGCCTTCAGAGCTCCCGGGAGGGGTTAGAGAATTCCTGCAGTTTTGTCCTCCAAGTCGCCTGCACGGGGCCCAAAGTGGGCGCCCTCGGCCGTGGCGTGGGGTGAGGGGAACATTTGCAAAAGTCGGGCTACGGGTGCTGCCACCAGGGAGGATCCTGGCTCCTTCCCTTCTGGATCTTCCTGGTCCCACTCCCTGTGCCGGCTGGGGCTGGAGTGGCCCCGGACCCTGAGGCCAGCGGGAGCTGGCTCGTGCGCTGGCCATTGAAGCCCTATTGGACGAGAACCCGGGACCCTTCAGTCCACAGGCCGTGGCTCTGTCCACTGAGCCACACCGGCCAGGGCTCACTCATGCTTTAACAGTGTGCGCACTCGGGGTCCTCATGCCGGGCAGCCCCAGGTGTGGGGCGCAGCTGTGTGGGAGCCGCGGAGGCGGGAGCAGAGTGTGTGGGCTCCGTGCGCGGGAGAGTGACCTGTACACGCCCTGGGCAGCGCTGTCCCGTGTGACTCCGCCTTCTCTCCTCCTCGCAGACCTGCTGATCATCGTTCTGCACTGGGACGTGATCGGCGACAAGTACTTCCTGATTCACCACTGTGCCTCGCTGTACGCCTTCTTCTTAGTGCTGGTGAGTGCAGGCCGCCTGGACACTGGCGGGCGGGAGGCGCCCGGGGGCACCCAGGCAAACCCCGACCCTCAGGCCCTGCAGACCGACTCCGGCCGCATCGGGGTCCTTCCCGCCATGTGTCAGCTCGTCCGTGCACAAAGCCCACCTTCACGCGGGGTCTGCGGGGCACTGGCGTGGATTCACACACTCAAGGAAGGCAGATGGCCCCAGTTTCTTGAATTTTCACTGAAAACCTTCAGGACTGTGCAGCTCTTGGTGTTTGCCCATCTTCCTAGATGCATGTAGGGTTAATGCACCCCTCACCCCGGCAACTAGGAGTCTCCTCCGCAGGGCTCTCGAAGGGACGTGGCTGCACCACGTTGGCCAGAGTGAGCCGTGGCATTTTTATGTTATATTCTTACGGGAGAGGGAGAGACAGAAACATCAGTGCTGAGAGAGAATCATGGATCGGCTGCTGCCTGCACGCCCCGCACTGGGGATGGAGCCCACAACCCGGGCCTGTGCCCTGACCGGGAATCGAGCCGTGACCTCCTGGTTCATAGGTCAAGGCTCAACCCCTGAGGTGCGCCGGCCGGGCCACTTTTGTCTTTTACAATATTCCGGCCCCTGGTGACCGCTAAGGCCCATCAGGAGGAGAATCCGTTAGCAGACCCGGCGCGGAGGTGGGTGTGAGGGTGTGAGGTCTGCTGCGGGCTCGCCAGTGCGTCTCCGTGCGGGAGACTCTGCGAGAATGTCACGCCTGACCGCGTCTCGTGTTCCTCACCCAGAAAGACGGCCCGCTGCAGTACATCGCCAACTTCCGCCTGCTCGCCGAGCTCTCCAGCCCCTGCGTGAACCAGCGGTAGGTGACTGACCGCACAGTGGTTGTGAGGTTGAGCGTGGATTTGCAGCCGGGGGTTCGTTTCCCGGGCCCCAGAGCTCCGGGTGAAACGAGCGTGTGGATGGGCGTGATGATCGCCGCGCCGCCCACTCTCACAGGGAAGTCCCGTGGGCACCAGGCTGCCCACGCCCAGGGCGGCCTCTGTCGGGGATAGAGCCCGAGCCTCCCAGCCCGTCA